CCTCTTAAATAGATTAAAATGTACCATTTTTTTCTATTCAAGTTTAATCAAAATGGCTAATAAACTAAATGGGCTTGATTTTCAAATCTATTAAATGTCTTCAAATCAAAGTTTTAAGTTTTTACAGTTTAAAAATAGAAATTCAGAACACAACAGCACTTTCTTTAGCTATAAATCTTTGTTTCTTTATCTTCATTCTCTTATGGAACCAGTATTGGTCTGCTGTAAAGATACGTTACATCTCAATACCATATTTACTTGTAAATTAGAATCTTTAATATGACAACATTTTTAAGGTATGTTACTGGTTGCAAAAGAATTAAGTTTCTCTCTTGAAACTGTCCTATAAGAAAATTTATATTTTGGTTCCTCTTGTTATAGATCATCTTTGTCTATAACATCACTTCCTATGGATCCATTAGTTTTATTGTTGAAGTGTTATGAAATTTCTACATCAATTTTCTACATCATTTTCTTCATCCTGTTCTTCCCCTAAACTTTGCTTGGTTGACTAGATTGTAGAAGACGTCACTGATCTACCATTCCATCACCATGATGATAGCCAGAAGATTTTTTTAAAGTTTTCAATTTTCTCTTGAATTGATAATGACCAAATTCTATGTTTTCTGTCAACTCTTTCTTTCTAAGATGAAGATGCATTGCTTGATCTCAGTATAAGCAAAATAAACTAAAAATATAAATCAGGGTCAAAGATAACAGCAATAAAATGAAACTGACTGTACAACAAGAATTTGCTATGTTATACTCCGTCACAATTAGATCTTATTCTGATTCATTCTGCATGCTGGCTGGATGTAACCAGCACAGAGGCAGAAAACGAAATAACAAAAATCATTTTCTACACATTGGGCTCCACGCACCATATCCAGTCTACTAAGTGAACTCCGGTGGTGGCCAATCACGAATATTCCCACCGGTAAAAGAGACATCCCTTAGGTCTACCAGCCCTGTTTTAAAGCAGGCACTGGGGATGACTAGGGACAGTTGCTGTCTGGTGCAGCCACTGGCCAACATGCAGGGTGATGCTGCTTCTGTTGCTAATGCCACTATGACCTTGTCACCATGAAAACATAGTTGCAAGCCAACAATCATGCAAAGCACTACTACCACCACTGTTACCACCTTCACCACCACCACTCAACATGACCACACATTTCAAATACTGTTACCACTTCCTGGATTGACCTACCTCCTCAGCTATCCAGTTTTGACTCAAAACAGCTCTACCTTGACTTGTTTACAAGGCACTTCCTTCACAGTCGACCCCAGTGACATCTGTTCCACAGAACAACTCTACCTTGACTCATTTACAAGACATTCCCTTTGCAGTCGATGTAGTGACCTCCATTCCACAGAATAGCTCTACCTTGACTCATTTACAAGGCATTTCCCTCGCAGTTGTCCCCAGAGACATCCACTCCACAGAAAAGGGCTACCAAGACCACGCCAATCTGACGTCACCCCATTTCAACACAACAGGTTGCCCAACCAACAAGACGACTTACGACTGTGACCGTCATCAATCAAATATGCACCAACCGTATCCTGTGCCATGCAGTCACAAGAAATTGTTCACTCCTGATACTACATTTTCAACAGATTGTCATTCCTGTACTCCTTACCAATAAACATTGTTTCACTGTAATCCTCGATATTCCTTTCTCTTGCTACACTTAATATAACAGCTAGAATATCATCATCTTAAAAAAAATGTTTTTTTAACACATGAGGAGCAAGATAATTGTGTTTATCTCTTGAAGCTATCCTATGGAAAGGTCTAAGACATTCTCTTCCTCATTGCTACAGATCATCCATCCTCACACCTTCCCCTTCATTTCCTATGGCTTCATTAGTTTTATTGTTGAATTTGTATTAATTTCCACATTGATTTTCTTCTTCCAGTGCTATTTCTCTCTCTCTCTCTCTCTCTATATATATATATATATATATATATATATATATATATATAAATTATGAAAGTGGAGACTTTAGAAGCCCATGGTAATATTTTATTTCACAAAACTGATACATCAGTTTCATCTTATCAGACCAAACAGTTTCAACAATAAATGGATTTAAAATTTTACCAGACACGAAACGAAATATTTAACCATAAATTATGTTTTAAAATATAGATTCAAAATGGGGGAAGGGAAAAAGAAAGAAAGAGAGAGGAGGAGAAAAAGAGATATGTCTGCCTAGAGAGATATATAAAAAAGAAACCATAGTGGATAAGAACAGACAGGTTGACCTATTTCTACCAGATCTGAGAAGTGAAGTAGAGAGAGTATCTTCTAAGGAGAACATAGGAAAGAGACAAAGGAAAAAGAAAGAGGAAGAAAACAAGTGAAAGAAAGTAATAGTAAAATACCAACAATTACCAGTATTTTACTATTTTATTTTCTTAATCACCTATTTTTTAAAATTACACTGGTATTGATGTTGTAAATAACTACATGCATTGAACAGAAATCTTTTGAATATATTCAGTTTTAAACACCAATGTTTATCAGTTCCAAATCATCTCTCAAATTTTTCCTTCCTTTCTTTTACCTTTGCTGATAAGCAGATGAGATTGAAAGTACTTGGGAAAATAAAAATTATTTGAAAGAAAATTTTGGAATTTTTCTTTATCAATTTTCTACAGCCTGTGGACTTGAAAGGATTAAAACTAAATAGATATGTCTAAATTATTTAACCAAACATATATATATATATAATATATATATATATATATATATATATATATATATATATATATATATATATATCAAAATGCACCAACAAGTTTATCTTTTTATATTTACATAGATCAATAAAATATTGACTAACACATTCTTATCTTATAACTGACCTAATTTCACTCCAGAAATGTGTAGATACACTAGTTACTGATGCATAAATATTTGTTTAGAAACAAAAAAAGACAAATTATTATTGTTATTGTTATCATCATTATTATGATGATGATATTGGTGTCACATATTGACGTAGTTAACGTAAATTTTGTTATTGAGGCAGGGTGTCAACAAGACTCGACACAATTCCAGAACTTCCCAGAGAACCCTCACAATAAATGATAGCAGTTTTCTGGAGGCCTACAAGCTTGGTTTCAATTCCAATTTTCTCTTCTATAGCTTCTTCAATTCCCTAGCCAGATGCTGATATTTTTTTCAATCTCTTGAGTTTCTTTGATGTCTGTTCTTGTATCAGATGGAACAGCAAATCAATAATTTGACATTTTCTGTTGTCTTTCTTTTTTGTAACAATAAGGTCAGATCTTTGTGCTTCAATAACATCATCAATCTAGACCAAAAATTCCCTTATTATCTTGTGACTATCATTTTCTACCATAACAATAACAAAACTAATAATCAAATAGAATAATTATAACTATAAACAGTAATAAAAGTTACATGACCGAGAGAAGATTCATTCTTACTGTTGATTTTATCAAACACAGCATTATTGAACTGAAAACCTTTACCTTTTCACTTAAAGAAAGAAACTTCCAGATCCTCTTTGGAAATGTCAGCATCACTATTCTTGTACTCTGGGAATATTAAGTAAAACTTAGGAATTGCTTATTTTGGGGATTGACTGTAGGTAATTAGAAACAAAAATGGCAATGGTGCATAATAAATGAAAAAACATCCTATGTCCTTCAAAAGGTCTTCATCAGAAAAAAATGATGTTTCCATTGATGAAATTATATATATTCATTACTCTGCCTATATATATATATAGTTACTTTGTTTTAATAAATTCATTTCATTTTCATTTTTTCCTTGAAAAAGTCCACATTGGATGAAACGAATTAAAGATGAGCAGATAGGTTGACCTAGAAACAAATTTTTCTTTAAAGGGCGAACTAGTTACTGGGTAAGAGAAGGGTGATCAGAATTAAGAGTTACACGTCTAATAGTCATGTCATTTCAGATAGCAAAAATCATCATCACATTATAATAATCATCACAATTTCATATTAATAATAATAATAATATCCAACATCAATAAAATAAAGTAAATTAAATAAAATGAAAAATTATAAAATTATAAAAATTAAATAATTAAATAAATCAAGAGATAAATAAAGAACAATTTTAAAGAATATAGATAAGGATAAAAATAATAAAGATAATAATATCAATAATATTAATATAAAAATAATATTAATAATTTAAAATTATAAATGATGTTGGCAAGACAATCACATATATGACCATATATAGAAATGTGAATACACAAATGTAGAATCTCTCTGATTCCACAAATCTACACATGTACTTTTATCTACTATTCCACAAAAAATTGGTTCCCATACAATTTTTCTTAATCATTTCATCTCCAAGCAAGACAATAAATTCACTAAGATTACTAAGAATGAAAGAAAGAATATGAGAAAACAAAACATTATTAAGGAGAGAGAATGATAAAAGATCAGGAATTAAGAAGATAGCCGATAATGATTGACATTGCATTTAAGTTTTTGAAGATGAAAGCTGACTGGAAAGCAAAAAAAAGAGGGTTCCACAAACATGAAATGTAAGAGAGGAAACTGTTAGCATATAACTTATGGTTACATCTAGCAATTTCAACAGTAAAATAATGAGACCTAGCCGCCAATCTAGTACCATACTTAAATTTGTAAAGTCAAGATACCAAAGTGGAAAGCTCACCATAACAATTACTATGAAAATATTTATAGAAAAGACACAAGGAAGCTACAGTACGACACAGCAGTGGGAAAGTTATTCTTAGATTATTTTGACAAGACAAGGGATATGAATCATTTTCACTGTATGTATTAATTGTCATTCCAAAAATGTTTTGTGTTGCAGCATACTTTGATATAGAATGGCTTGATAAATTTTGACAGATATAAGTCAACTATCCTACACTCCACCCCATCCTAATCTTCAAACTTAAAAAAGAAAATAGTGTTTAAAGAAATCTACTTTCATTTTATATTTGTATAGATTGCCTCTGAAGTACAACAATTGCCACCATCAAAGCTTCTACCCTGTCCCCCAGGACATGACAGCCCTCTAAACATTGATAAACCTAAATGTCATCCTCAGTCTTCTAATGAATGGATCAAACAACATGGACTAAAAGGTGAGTGTATTTCATTAGTAAGACCGATGGATGGCCACTGAAGTTGATATCAATCTCAATTTTAATGTATTTACCTACAAAGGATGAAAGTATTATTTTATTACTAGTTTTGCTCTGACTAATTATAGGAAATTGGAGAGCCAAGTTCAAATTCCTATCAAGTTTGTTACATTCCCTTACACACCTTTGGAAAGGTATGAATCTGTCTCTTCTCCCCCAACCCCAGTTATGGGTTCTATAGCAAGACAGACTGTGTCTTATAGCTTTGGTCTACTGCAGAAAGGAATAGTAACCGACTGCAGGAAAATCTTCTGCCTAGTCAGTAATGAATCAAAAGAAAGGTGATTGCCCAAGTGTGTTTCACATATGGCACTAATTGACTTATGGTTGATTTTTATCCCCCACTCACTTAGGCATGATGCATTCTTCAAACACTAATGTGAGCTGCAAGAAATCAGAAACTAAATAGCTTTCTGTGAGGCTTGAACTCATATCTCAAAACTCAATAACCCATTGGTCATATACGTCACTTTAGTCACAGACATTACAGAAGTATATATTATTAAATAGAACACAATTTGTAACCATTCTCTTGTTACTCATCTTTGATTCTCCATAATAACTTGATTTTCTTACCGTGTAATTTTTTCAATGCCATGCTCCTTCAGAATGTAGGAGGTTATGGTTCTCCACATCTTCCTATTCTTTAGTATGTGTCTTTTTGGAAAGATAGTTCATTGGTTTCCGATTGCCTTCTCCATGGCTTGGAATTTCAAGTTGTCTTTTATCTAGACTGGCTATCAGACAAATCTTGAGAATCCAATCTGGCCTGCTATTTAACCCATAACTGGTGGGAGAAGAGATGGTTTCATGCCTTTTTCAGGAGCATTAGTGTGAAAGTGAATGCAACAGACTAGGCTGAAATTTGAACTTGGATCCCTGATTCCATTTTTTATGCCAATAACCTTTATGCTACTTGTACATCCTACCTAATAATAGTAAAATTATTGTTTTTTAATTTTCAGATGAAGTATTTTCACTATTATTATTATTATCATTATTATTGAGTGAGAGAGCACCACACCAAGAAAGTGATGCCTGGGTACAAATATATGAAGCCAAATGCACCCATCATGACACCCAGTCTGGCAAGGGTATCCCAGGCACATGCATCACAACCAAATATGCACTATATAATAACAGGTTTTAATAAAAGCAACACATAACATCGTAGATAGGGTCCAGTTACCTTCATACCTTCAAGTCAAGTAACCTAGTTGACTCAAACAGTCTCCAATTGAGGGTGTTCCCAAGTAACTAGATGTGGCTTCCAAGTGACCTTGATTGCCTCATCCTCCAAAATTAAAAAGAACAACTCTATCAACATCCGGCCAAGATGTCCTCCCACTACTACCACTTCTGAACTGAGATGTACAGGGTATCACTTCCAAGAGGCAATGCCAAAATAGTTAAGATCAGTGAACAAATAAGTAAATCTTTGCTACAGAATAATTTAATTCACTGACAAACCATACTTGTTAACACCTCCAATCAATTAAGATCAGAACCCATGAGAGCCATGCATGCTGCAGTATCAGGGGATTTAGTATTGTTATTATTATTATTATTATTATTATTTACAAATCTCATTGAAAACTGTTTCTTAATTTCAGATTTCGACTATTTTGTTCTAGCAGTCAAAGATTATATTAAAAGTGAATGTGGTGATAAAAAGTAACAATGTCATGCAATAAAAACTAGTCTCTCTCTTTCTTTCTGTCTCTGTCTCTCTCCCTCTCTCTCTCTCTCTCTCTCTCTCTCTCTCTCTCTCTCTCTATATATATATATATATATACATATTAAGAAATATACATACTATTGCTTCAACATGAAACTTGGAGTTGTGCAATTAATGTAAGATATTATGTATATTTCTTAATATATATATTAAATAGCTCAATTACTTAATATTCAGCACTATTTTTTCTTACACTAGAGAGTATTTATATGTATTTGTACTTGATCGCTCACTCGTATATCTACCTATATTTGTGAATAAAACACAAGAGGAAAACCTTGTTTGTTGTTGAATATTCGAGTAATCTTATTAGAAAAATATTCACTCTCTGGCTGGATTCAAACCTGCGTTCCTCTAGCGGGAAACCATAATTAGATCTGATATGCATTGACCTCTTGGCTTCAGAGTGCCTGATGGCCAAGCTCAAATAGTGCTTTGAAATATGCTAAAATTACTTTGTTTATGTTAAGACAAGAAACTGAGCAGAGATGTATATTTCAAGAGTTTGAAAAAAATCTTTGTTTAACTGGTTCTCCTGCTATATTTTCTCAAAATTCTCAATAAAATTCAAAGAAGTGTCTATAATATAATCAGTCCTGACCTGGAATCTTGACTTCAGTCACTTTCTCACCACCATGAAGTGACGTCCCTGTCATGGCATTTACAACTAGACTGGCAAAGAATTCTCATCATTTTACTATTATGAGATGACCGTAGCCATGCCCAAGGAGTATACTTTGAAAATGATGGTGGAAAGAAGATGTTACAATCAGTAATTTGTTTTCATGGTTAAAATTACCAAAACTTTCAAATAGCATTTATTTATATATATATATATATATATATATATATATATATGTGTGTGTGTGTGTGAATAAGCAATTCTTTATATTCACATGGAAAAGTGGCACCAACAAAATATTTTGGCACCAAAAGAAGAATTTTCTTTTATGATTAGCCTTTGGCTGACTGCCATGAAAAAACATCTTCATACATAGAACTTGACTTGGCACCATGCCTCCCACTGGCAAACAATCAAACACATCTTAAACTTATCAACATTTGCTAAATTGCTATTTGGAAAGCCAACTGAAAATAATATTTATTATTAATATTCCATGGCTAAATTTTAAGAACCTATTAAATTAAAAAAAAAAGATTTAAACCTGCAGGCTTGTTTTCTGATATTTTCCTTGTTTCATATTGCAGTTAGTCATTTTTTTACAACATTTATTTGTTTATATCTTTTTAATCATAAAATACAAACTGAAACATTACGATGCAAAGTAGTAAATAGCATGTCATAACAAAGTTAAAAGACAGAATGATATTTGTCAGTGGGATAAGATGTGTCTTTTTAAACAAATATTTTGATACATGCAAATATCTGTTTATATTTCTGAGATGAGGTATTGTAATTATTTACATTATTTACATTGTTCGAACTGTTGCCATATTCACAATGTTTCGGCCATTGCATGTTCCAGCCTTCTTCAGGTGATTGGAATTTTGACTTCAACCTTTTATTTTATCCACCAGGGTAGACTGTTCTATTTTCATGTGCCATACCTCTTCCAGATGTCTCAGTTATCTCCCTTTAACTCAACTCACTGAGTTTTTGTTCACTCCTGCCATAGTCAGGTATTGAACTCACAACTCTTTTGGATTCACTCAACACTTTTATTCACTGGGCCAAAGATAAAGAACACATGGTCCAGTGGATAAAAGCAGGTTCACCTGAAGTAGGCCGAAACGTACAACAGCCAAAATGTTGTGAACATAGCAAGAAAGATGAGGACAACAGTTTGAACAATGTAAATAATGTAAATAACATGTAAATATGTTATAGAAAATCATCATTTATGTATTCAAAGCTTGATTGAATAAGGAACGAGTAAAAAAATCTTTATAAATTTGACATGTTTAGTTATTTTTTTTAGCTTCATTAAAAGAAGCTAAATGAGTAGTGAAATATGTCAAATTTATCAAGATTTCCTACTGTTGGATTTAATGCATATTTTCAACTCCTTCAAGGCTTACAGTATGATATGCAAAGTGGCCTTATATGAAATGCAAAATAGCCTTATAAAATCTTATTGAAAATTAGAGTCATTTAGCTTTCTAGATTTTTTTTCAAGATGAACTTTTCTGATGTTTTATTTCAAACAGCAAAACAACTGGATCTCTACCAAGTCCTTGCTCCAAATGCTTATTCATACCGTGAAGACTATGTTCCTGTGATAGGAAAGGCTGTACAATCACAAGTACATCAAGTGAGTTATATTCTCTTTTGTGAGTATGTGCTTCTCTCTCTCTCTCTCTCTCTCTCTCTATATATATATATATATATATATATATATATATATACATACACATTTCTATATGGCTTTGGATCTTGTCAGTACAGCTGAGAAGTGGGTCATATAGTCTGGGCAGCACACAACCTGCACCATGGAGAGGTCACTCCAGTTTCACCACCAAATGACTGAATTTTGACCAAACAGGGTGCTACCTTTATCTTGCAAGATAAATGGATGCTTACCAGATACACATTTGTTCCTTGCTGTTTCATACAACTCTTGAGTTTCATGCATAGGGTAATCATCAGGCACAAATTAAAATTATAATATTATATAATTACCATTGTAAATTTTTTTTAATATTAATATTTATGACCAGAGCCAGTACAAACTACCCACAAACTCCCTGACCTAGGGAGTGGGAGGCAAGCCTGATTGGGTGTCCTGCGCACTGTTTTGTCAATCAATATTTGCTTTTTTCTACTTACATTTATATATGTTACAAATTAAACTATGCACAACTGATTATTAAAGGATGGAAAATTTTCACAGATTTTGACGTCACCCTGGGGTCTATGTTAAGTCTCAAATAACACTATATAAAATTCACTATTTTTTATTCATAATGTTAACTGTGTTAAAATTATTCAACTTTTTAACAAAAAAAATCTCAAGTTGATGTTAAAAATTACCACAAAACATTGTTGGTTTATTTAAGACTAGCAGTAGATCCCGGTGTTGCCCGGGGATGTAACAGTAAGAGATAGATCAAGTATCGACCATCATAAAGACTGAAAAATAAAATTGACAAAGATTATTGTTTAAGGTTGACAGACATGCATGCCTTAATTAGTTATTTTTTTTGTTTTTTTTTACGAATTGGTCAAACCCAAACTCAAACAAAAACATTGTTTTCAATCGTTATGAGTCTATCGATTGAATAGAATTTTATTATAAACAATTGTCTTGTAAATGGAATTTTTAAAGCATTCTGAATGTAAAAATAAAGAAAAACGTGTGCAAGACAATAAGAAACACTACCTGCCAAAAAAAAGTGAAGTTTTGTTGAAATCGGTTGAAAAATGTAGGAAATCCAATCCCATATATAAATGAACACACACACCCACACACAAACAACCTGGATTTTATAAGTATAACTCGATATGAGTTGTCCCCCTTTCATTCTGGCGACAGAATCGTGTTTTCAAATTGATTTCGTGCAAAAACAATTGTGTTTTTCCAATTTTTGGCGCTGTCAGATCCACTGCAAGGTAATTTTACGTAGTCCTGTGAAGTTTTGTTGAAATCGGTTGAAAAATGTAGGAAATCCGATCCCATATATAAACGTACACACACACAATCTGTGTTTTATAATAAGTAAGATGAAAGGGAGTGGAAGAGAAGAGGATGGCGAGACACTTGCACCAGCCCTCTTTATAACTTACGATTAAGATAACAGAGCAGTCCATTTTCTTAAAAATAAATATTTTATATTTCTAGCACTCACTGTATACTAATATATATATATATATATATATATATTTTGGGTGGGTGTTCCTTTTTCCATGCTCTCTCTTCATCCTCCTGCTCTCTCTCTTTATTTTATTTATATATATATATATATATATATATATATATATATATATATATATATATATTGATATGACAAAAGTAATGGGAAATCAGTATGTAAAGGTAATGTGGCAAAGTTTAATAACTGTACCTGCAAAGAAACAGTTTATCAGAAGGATGGTATTTCCCTTGACACTGTTATTATTGTATACTCCCTCAACAAAATTTGTTCTAAAATGTTATTTTTAAAATTTTGTTAAAACCCAAACATGAAACTAGATTTATGCATTATCTTTTTTTTTTTTTTGAGAATTGATGACAAAAGTATTAAGCCCTATCCTTGTGAATAAACAGACTAATAAATAAATAGTGTTTTACATTTTGTTGTCAATTCTCAATGGAAAAAAAAGTATGAATCCAGGTGCTCGTAACCTATTTTAGTGAATTTATGTGGCAAGAGCAAGTAAAAAAAATGCCCACAGAATGTAGATTTTCAAAATTTATAATTTTGAAAAAAATTCATTAGTACTTGTGTTTTTATAAATTTTTGAACAAAAAATTTTGTTTCTAAAGTTATTTCTTTCTAATATGGTAAATAATAAATATTTCATTGTAGTTGGTTCACATATTTTTATAAACTTGCAAATATATATTATTCTTGAAAATAAAAAAATCTAATAAATAAATAGTGTTTAATTCTTTTGTTATCAATTCTCAAAAAAAAAATAATGCATAAATCCAGCTTCATTAGTTTTGATTTATTGTGTCTGAAAATGATGTGAATAAACATTGAAATATTAACACAATCAACTTTTCTCATGACATGAACATAGATATCATACAAATAGATATTTAATAAGTTTATCTTCAACTAATTCAGTACCACAGTGGGACACTCTGATAGTGATAACCTGTGAGACTAGTTTGCTAATAATCGCTCTTTGGCAAGTGCTCTTGATAACCTACAAAGAACAAATTTATTAGATGTGGATTAAAGCAGTTAAAGAAGAATGTAACTATATGACTAAATTTGAATTTCGCCTTCTGATGAGTCTCCATGTCCTAATGGATAAAGAATTACTCATGTCAGATAAGCTCCTAAAGGTACAAATGCAAGTTCAATTCTTGTCAGATGCTAATTCTTCATTTTTGTATCCATGCTACTTATTTAATTGTCATAGAATGTAAAACCGACCTGAACATTACAATAAAAAGATGAAAGAAAAACTAGCAAAAATTTCAGAACCATAGTCATTTGTAACCAGGACCACGGCGACAAGTACTAATACTACTACTACTACTACTACTACTGCTGCTGTTGTTGTTGTTTTTTTTTTGTTTTTTTTAACCTGCATTTCTTTATAATCATGTACCAGGTGACTTAAGCAAAGGATGTATTTTTTGTTTTTTTTTTGTTGATTTTTTTTTATTTGGTCACTTAATTAAACAAAAGACAGCTATTAACAAAAGAAACTTAAATGGATAAGCCTCTTCACAGGACATTGGCTTTGTTTGTTAGAATAAATATTATCATTAATATCAGCTCCGGAGAGGGGGCTACTCCTCCCTTGCAGTACCTTCCCATTGCACATAATAGGAAGAATAAGCTAAGCAATTTTTACCCTCTTCTCCATGTAGGCATAGAGGTTGAAACCTAAAAAAAAAGGACCTTATGATCTTTTACGATACCCTTTCCCTGTTGGAAGTCGAGTAAATACCGATCAGTATATTTTTCAGCTACTTTCATTTCTGCATTCTGTGGATTATCCTCTTTATTGGTACTTTAAAAGCTGTACTGTAATAAATGCATTGAGTTGCGCCCCTTTATTTGTCCTATGCTTATAAAAAGAGTGTGATGATAATCATAAAGAAAGAAATTAATGTTTCAAGTTACGTCTTTAAAATTTTAGAGATAATTATTAGCCTATGATAGATATATTTATGAGTAAACCTGTCGGGCACATCTGTGTAAAATACATTAGGAACTATCATTGGTAGACTTAATAAAGATCAGTATGATAGTCAACAAATGTTAGATTTCTTTTTATTGAAAAAGCGAAATATTATTTTGTTAGTTGTTTGGTGTTTTATTATTTTTTGAATGATGTCATGAAGCAATTTAGGAAGACTTTTGTTTTGTTTTTTTGCTTAATAGGTTAGTCTTGACATTGTTACTCATTGTTTGTAATTTTGTCATTGTAATTCAGGTACATAAACAGAATATAATATTTGAATGAATTATTCTTCCTATATTTCTAATAGTCATACTATGTGCATAACTCGCCTTTATTTTTTACTTTGAATTAACTCTCGTCTCTACAGCAGGTAAGTCACAGGTACATTCAAAGAATAACGTTTTATTTTTATTTATGAAGAAGTTACCTAATCTACTTTTGTCAAAAGGCACCTAATTTACTTTTTTTTTCTTTCTTCTAAAGTTTATCCAGGATAGGGCTCGAGAGCCACACAAGATAGTGTTGCTATTAAAATGGTTATGATGAATGAGATGTGTGATATGAATGAAAGAGGAGTTGATAAGTGAAGATTATGAGGATTATAACTTACTTAGTATTTTATTATTTTGCTAAATACTATCATTTATATTAAAAATATTGTATACTGAACATTCCTGCTCTACATCTGTAAATTTAAAAAAAAAAAACAGATTCCTTCAATTGGAAATTAAATAAGTATATTTTAAAAAAGATTTTTGACAGCATAGAAGACGTTAATTACTTTCCCACAATTAAAACAATATAGTTATTAAAAACAAATGAAAGGACAATGCAGCTATCTAAAAATTGTATGCTTCATGCTTATATGGATTTTAATCAATAAGTTATGCAGTTCTTACGTTAAATTTGATTAAGATAACTAGGAGGGACATTTAACTTCTTTGCTGTCAAAAAAAGCTGATGATTATGAACAAATACTAAAAGCAAAAACAAAAGCATGTTTTAAAAAGAACATAAGCAAAAATTTCAACAAATATTTCTTAGTTTTCACTATTGTCCTTTTTCTTTCTTTTAGAGAGCAATGGTCCAGTTTCAGTGGTATGATGGTTCTACTAAAAATGTCCATGTCGACATGGCCAAACTTTTTAACTACCAAAAGCAGCTTGGGGCAGCAGTCAATTTGTATGAACAGAGAATTGAGTGGCTCTCTACAGGCAGTCGTAGAATCTTTGGCACCATTTCTGGCAAAAAGTATTCCACTCTTATTTCCACATCTTACATTTGTGCATCTTTCTTATTGTGTGCATCCTTCTTATTTTATGTGTGTATCTTTCATATTACACATTTCCTTATGATTCTTTTTATTATTTCATGCTTGTGCATCTTTCTTATTGTGTGGATCTTTCCTATTATTAATATTTGTGCATCCTTCTAGTGCACATCCTTCTGAGTTTTTATTTTATGGTTGTACATGTTTCTTATTGTGTGCATCCTTCATCTTATGTTATTTGTGTAGGCGTTTTTCTAAGAAAGTGATAAGTAACATCCCAAAATATCAAACGGACTTTTCTGTTTTTGCTTATCAAAAATTTGCTGTTATCAACAAAATTAAAGATTAAGAAAATCTATTAATTTGATTTTTGATGAATAAAAAAAAATGAAAGAAAAAATTTGGTAAATCTTTTATAAATACATCTAGAAGCCTTTTCAGCTGAAAAGAAATGATTTAATATCACAAAGAATATTCAGTTACAAACTTAACATTAAAACTGTTAAGTACATGAAGTATTCCTAATTAATATCTAACAATGAATGAAAAGAAAATGAGGCTATTAATAATAAATAATTAATGATAATTTTTTTAAATCATTTCACTCCAAAAAAGGCAATAAGGCCACTAATTCTCAAGGGGTTACTGAGTGTGAGAGAATTTGAGGAAAACAAAACATAATTAAGGAGAGAGAACAATAAAAGAACAGAAATTAAAAAGAAAGAAGATAATGATTGATATTGCATTTAAATTTTTAAAGATCAAAGTTGACTGGAAAGCAAAAAGCCAGAAAAGAATTCCATATGTGAAACATGCAAGAAAAGAAACTGTTAGCATAAAACTTATGCTTGCATCATGAGGCTGTGCCACTAATCTAGTAGTACACTTAAGTCTAGGTACCAAAGAGGAAAGATCATTAGAACATGAAAATATTTATAGAAAAGGCACAATAAAGCTATGTTATAGTGGTAGGAAAGTGACTGAATCCGAGAGGCAAGGTCAGAACCAATAACATTGCAAAAATCTTCTTAGTATTTTATCAAAAATCTCTAAATACATAGCAGAAATACCAGAACAGATGTGACAGCAATATTCAATATCATGGATGAATGGTAGGCTTATAAATGACTCTGAATATTATAACATTTTACCATGATAATTATGATGATAAGATTCGTTTATTGCTCTGATCAAAACATTTCAACTTATTCCAAATTATTACACACATAACCTTATTCCATCAATAGTGCTTGTTTTCATTCCTGGCAATTTTCTCCTATGTCTACAACATACAAATTAATATAGAAACCCAGTAAAACATATTTTAGGTAAAAAATTGAAGATTTCTGTATTTTATCATTTTTTTTTCCTTACCATAGAAATATTTAGTGTTTAGCTGAAACAAATGACTTGAGCTAAGTGGCAGGGTTAACAGCAGTGGTTTGTCTTAGGCATGGATTGTATGACAGAGCCCATCCCTCCTCAAGGTGGTTTTCCTTCTCCTAGATTGATTGTCACTTCAAAGCAAAACAACACCAGCCAGTTCTGTTATTTAACCCATATCTAGTTTGGGGAAGAGAAGGATTCATACTTACCCAGGGCATTTGTGTAAAAGCGAACATAACAAACTTGGCCAGAATTTGAAATCAGTTCAGCATGATGTTTTTGGGGTTTTTTTTAACAGCTATTATCTTTCATATGGAGATTATACTTTCTTTTTCATTTCTGTCACTCTAAATTAGTTTAATTTTCAGATTTAAGCTGTAAGAAAATAATGCAAACCAGTGATAGCACGGGACTTCATTTCTCATATTTTCTATTACATTTTATTTATTCTACTACTTCATCAATTACTCCCTGTGCACGTGTGTGTCTGTGTGTGTGTGTGTCCCCATTCGTCCTGGAGCCCCTCATCCAAAACATAGACCTTACATTTTCATCTACAATGTCTTAGAGAGACTCTGCCCACTCACTACTGAGGTGAGATATATCTATCGCTAAAGAAGTAATGGATTTTATTTATTAATACAACAGATTTTATCACTTTAAATGTTATTTTTAGTGGATACTCATATTTGAGTAGACGCTTCGTTTATTTATTAAACAATATATTTATTTTCATCTATCAGGCTGAATATTTGAGAAATCTTATTAAAGAAAAATATACACACTCCAGTAGGATTCAAACTTTTGCCCCCCTAGGTAGAACGGACACATTTAGTCAATCAGGAATGGTTGAAAAGTTCTCTGTAGTTCAGACAGTTAACAGCATATCGGATCTAATGACTGTTCCCTTTACAGAGGATGATGAAGGTTCGAATCCTGGCAGAAAGCCGATATTTTTCTTTAATAAGATTTCTCAAATATTCAGCCTGATAGATGAAAATAAATATACTGTCAAATAAATACCCAAATAGTGGGTAAATAGGTTGTTTTCTTATGCATGTCAGCAGTCACCAAAATGTTGTGGGAGTTTACTCACATCATAACAGCAGAAATTAGCCTTGTGCTCATGGAGATAAAAGCATACTTGACAGAAAATAAAATGTACAAAAATAACAGGAAAGCATGGTAAATTGTATGTTAATTTCATACAATTTATTTGTATTTTTGGTGTGTATTGGTGTGTGTAATTTTTAGGTTGCAATTGTTTTATGGTACATGTGATAAAGGGAGAATTTACTCCATAGTATTACAAGGCATATCACAGAGAGAAGTTGGGCACATGTTGCCCATACCAAAGTTTGTGATGAAGAGAGTGAATTTAATGTCTTTTGCTGGGATGTCTGTATTTCCGGCAAGAACAGTTTTATTACATGCTGGAAGTATTTTTAGTATTTTTAATTTTTATTTAATTTATTTTATACAACAGTTTTATGTTGTTGTTTTATTTTATTTATAATTTTCATTATTATTATTATGATTATTTTATATTATATTTTTATTTATTTACAATAATAATAATATCCCTACACCATCAAAAAATAACATTTAAAATAATAAAATATCTATCTCTGTCACACAGTTCATTCCCACACTTGCAATCCAGATGCCTGTTTGTGAAAGTAAAAACAAATTAAAGGCAAAAAAAAAAGAATAATAGCACAATTTTCAGTTTCAAACAATGTAAACTGGTATATTTCCAAATTTGGTTCTTTATAACATACCAGCATGGAATAGTCCGTAAACACTTAATTAGAGGGTGGGTGGCATAAAAGGAATTTCTTATGCTGAGAGACTTAGAAAGTAATTCAGACTTTTTGCTCAATAGTATGTCCTGCTGAGTAAATCCTAAAATACATGAATTTTCTTCCAGCCTAAAACAAAAAAATATTTGTTTAAAAGAAAATTTAAAAAGTCTAGAGAAAAGAAAATGAAAAAGAAATTTAAAAAATGAAAAGCAATTCCATTTTATGCTGTTCAAGGCAAAGTGAAATGAAGAAATGATTATTTGCATTAACTTTTTCTTATGAAAGGGAAATTATACACAATGTTTTATAAAATATGGTGTTTTTCAAAATAATTTTTTGAGCAAAACTTGCTTTGCATAAAATTATACTTCATTAGAAAAATGAAGTATAATTTGTGCTTTATAACAAGAATCTTTGGCATTTTTTTTCACCTAGAATAAAATAGCTTTGAAGGAGACATTAACAAGATGGTTTCCATTTTAGTATTGATTTTTTTATTTTTTAGTTTTGTTTTTCTAGAAAAGAACGTAAAATTGGAAAGAGCAGAAAGGAGAATTATTTCTTCCAGTTGATTTCATTTTCGGCCTTGTACAAATCAAAGCCAGAGAAGTACCAAAAGAAAAACAAAACAAAAAAATTCAAAAAGAAAGAAAAGAAACAGATCCAATTTAATAACAGAATAATTTAATGTAATTTTATAGAATCTTCATTCTTATACAATGCCAAACAATTTATTTTTTTTAACAGATTCTCATAGTCTTCACTCACTTATCCAAACTTTGATTCTGATTAGGAAAATTGTTTGATGACACATCAACTCATGTAATTGTCTCATAGTTTTATTTTTTATATACATTCTAAGTTGGCATTTTTTATTCAAGATTATGAATTTAAACTTTCTACTTTGACAAAAAAACTTGATTGGTATATTCTCTATTTTGCTCATAATTGATGTATAAGTTACAAAAGAATATATATATAATATATATATATATATATATGACCTGATGATTGCTTTTAAGCATGAAACAGACTTCGCTGTTGGGTATTGTTATGTGATCTTACCCATAATAATAATAATGGACTATTCCATACTTAATAAATACGGCGCCTCAGGAGTAGGCATGGAGTCAGTCGTTCACCTCTGAACTGACTGTTCGGTTCAACTCTCTTCCCACGGGCGAGAGGAACCCGAAGGAGGCTACGCCAAGGGCGGAGTCTCCTTCGGGAGTAAAACCGCCCAGAACCCGTTTATATGGGTTCAAATGGGTTATTAGCCGAGCCTAATGGCTCGGGAATGCCCACATTAAAAAGGCCTTGTGCCACATGACACCCTCGTGGGGGGGTGACTGAATATCGTCAGTAGTTCAAGTCAAGTCAAGAGTCGAGTCAGAGGCAGTCCGAAACAGAGTCGCGTTCAAACAATTACTGCAATACATTGGAATAGTGATACTGGTCGAGACTACACTGTTCTCTCTACTAAACCTGATTGTTCGTACTAACACTTCTACTTCTCTGTATATATTCCTGTTTGTAATATATCTGTGTTATTCCATACCTGTGTTTGAGTTCTTCTTTATTGATTCTACCTTGGACTATCACCGTGGTACAAGGAACCGGCCCATAACAGGTATTGACTTCAATGTCCAGTTATATATATATATATATATATATATATATATATATATATATATATATATGTATGTATGTATGTATGTGATTTGTATATTCCTTTTCTTAAATGCTCTATTTTAAATACATATTAACTTATTTAATGCAGTATGATTTTCAAAATGAGCCTACTTTGAAAAATCACACTGAGAAAGATTTTATTAATGGGAAATAATTAAAAAAAGTTTTTATATATATATATATATATATATACACACATATTTAATCAGTTCATCCCAAGCTAGACGGTAATGCCACTAAGACACAAGGGGCTACTGGGAGGGAAAAAGAATGAAAAATGAGAAGACATTAGAAGGAACCAGAAACCCAATCTTAAACAGAAAACAAGGGGTAAATCTCTACTTCTGTTCAAAAGAAAGGGAGGAGTGTGAATCGAACAATAGATCCTATCTGCTCCTACTGAGGAGAAAAAAATAAATAAAAAATTAGTCAATAAAATTTCAGTGTTGTAGTAGACTTTAGAAGGAACCAGAAACCCAGTCCTAAACAGGAAACAAGGGATAAACCTCTACTCCTGTTCAAAAGACTGGAGAGGAATGTCAACCAGATAATAAGTGAAACCTATCTACTTCAATTGAGGGAAAAAAATTAAAAAATAAATAGTAAATAAAATTTCAGAGTTTAGGCAGAGATGTTAGAAATATATATATATATAAAATTGTGTATTTGGGCAGCAATCCCTCTTTTTTGCAAGTTTCATTAAAGATGATTGACAAGGTACTGTGATTAAGTTTACTTTCCACACACACACACACACACACATGCGTGTCTGGAAAGTAATCCTATGCACACACATACACTGGGTATTATACATGCACACACACACATTGGGTATCATATATATATATATACATACAGAGAGAGAGAATTAATAAAATAGGTTTGTCACTTAGCTGATTGATGTTCAGCAACCCGACTCCAGAGTTTCCTAGACAGATCCTGCAGGATTTACACCATCCACTCCTCAGCAGGTATCAGTAATTGACTGCTTATACTTCTTGAATTTAAAAGTATAGGATGGGGTCTCAAGCCTTGAATGGCAACCTGATGGTGTCTCAATAAAAACACTCAGTATACTTTGGACTACCATGAGTGTCTAAGGTGGGCATCAGGAAGACCTTGCCTCAAATCATTATGGCAAATCCTTTGTCAAGCAGAACCCACCTTACTTTGTGCAAGATTAATCCCAGTCCTGTTTTAACAAAAAAAAACATGCCTATCTATGGTGATTTTCTCAGCATAGCTTAGGTATGGCACAAGATCAAAAGTATGGGGTACCCAGTGTGGATTGAACTCACTAGTCAGTTGTAATTGTTCTAACAAGACAAGCTTGCTAACCATTACAACACATCATGATGCCTACATACCTACGTATGTATATATCTAAACTATAATTACAAACCATAATTTTGGAAAGTAAAAGTTTAACTGAAATGTGCTGGAAAAGTTCCAAGTTTTCAACTGCAATTAAGAAAAAAGAGTTTAAGTCAAATGATCACAATATATAAAAAAAAAGGTGTCTGTTAAACCAGGAGGATATAGGTTTTAATAAGCAGTAATCTGTTTGGAAGCTAAGCCATGGCAGATGGTTTGTTTTTTTTTTTTGTTTGTTTTTTTTAATTTTTATTCATTTAACTTTTTTACCAATGACAAAATAATGTAGTTAAACAAATTTTATAATCATCATTTTAAGTTTATATTTCCCCATTTATACACTTATACCCAATATTATAATAATGCAACTGCTTCCTTTATCTAATATTTAGCCAGTACACTTCAAGTTTACATTTTCCTGTTTATATTTTCCTTATTGTCTGTAAATCCTGCTTGTACATGTCTGTACATATATTATAAAAATTAAACAGTTATTCAAAAGAGTGTGGATTGCTGGATGAGCTTTAGAGACAGCTTATGTTTTATAAAATAGGTTATTGTAGAAGTATTGATTGATTAGAGAGAAATCTGTTCATTATGGAGGCTTTTTGTTTTTACTTTATCAGTAAAATTATCAGTGCATTTTACTTGCGATTGAATATTTTCTGAGATTGATTTTTGAAAATTTGATAAATTTTTAATGAAAATGTTTTTTGCTCCTTTTTAATGGCTTCACAGATCATTTCCCAGATATTATTAACAGATTATAAAAAGAATTCTGGTTCCAATATTTACAGTTTGGGAATAAAAGTACTGAGAGATGTTAGAACAGAAGCTTCCATTACAGACTCTCAAGTAGGATACATTGAACTCAGAAATATTAGATCTGTCTTGGGTTTTCTTTTATCATTCCTGTCATTATTATACTACTACACCAAGAATAAAAATAGAGGGCAAGGATATGTTTTCATCAGTGGCTCATTCATCTCTGTAGATTTTCCAAAATCTCCAACTTATAAATCAGTTGCTTCCATTGTTCACAGAACAGGAATTAAATATTGGAATAGAATTAGTGCAATCTGGGATTATGCTATTTTTTATTGGAGACAGCAGACAGTGTAAAATGATTCTTATATTATGCATGCATGCATGCATACATATATATATATATATATATATATATATTGTCAGCATTGTTTTTTTTTAAATAATAGATATATATTCATACAATATATAAAATAGCATTATACAAAATGTAAATAGATGTTTGTGAATTTTCAATGAAGTGGTGTGCTGGCAAAATTGTAACACAAGACTTAAATCTTCATTACTTAACATTAAATTTTATTCATTCTGCTATTTCGTCAGTTTCTCCCAAGCTGTCTGTGGAGCAAAAATAGCCCCTGTTGCACCCTGGTCCGATATTTATGAGAAATTCCTCACGATTCTCTTTGGGCAATTGTTTATATAACAATATATCAACATGTATCAAAACTCTTTCTCATGCCTGTGTTTCTCCATTCAGCCCCAGGTCAACCCCCTATTGCACACAGCTTTTTTAATGGTTTGGTATGAATTGTGTGCAATGTCTACTCTAGCATCATACTATAAATATATACATCTCTCTCTCTTTCTTTCTCTATCTCTCCCTCTCTCTCATATGTAATGTATGTGCGTGTGTGTAATCACATGCATCAAAAACGATGCACATAAATAAATAGAAAGAAAAAAAGAGAGAGTGGAAATTAGAGATTTGTATGTTTTTATTCTTAGCTGTATATGTTCATATGTAAATCCTTTTACTTTGTTTAGTTGTTAATGATGAATTGCACTATTTCCCCAGACAAATATATATATATATATATATATATATATATATATATATATATATATATATATTGATTCACAATTTTTTTTCTAACTTGAAGAAGCAGTTTTTCTTCACTTTATTATCAGTCATTTTTTCTTGTCGATTATATATTCATGTACCAGTAGATGTGTTTGTCTTGGTGGAAGCTTTGAGGTGATTGCATCCTAATAAAGACACCAATACAAAATTATTCAGTTTTTGGAGAACTTGAAACACGAGAACAAACTTATCTCATGGTTACTGCACATTTTGTTTGTCTATCTGTATATGAAATCAAAATCATTTTCATATATATTAAAGTGTGCATAAATAAATTTCTATGTATCTATATATATATATATATATATATATATATATATATATATATATATATATTAAATGGAAATTATTTTCTGAAATTATTTCTCATTACTATAAACATTATTTTTAGTTGGTACGCATGTTTGAGTTGATATCTCTGTTTTTCTTTCCGTTTTCTTAAGCAGTGAAATTAATTTCAATCGGTCTAGATCAAGAAATCCTACTAAAGAAAAATGTACCTCCTGAGGTGAATCTACCTTGAATTCCCTGATGGAAAAAGGGAATACATGTTTGATTCCTGTTGTTAACAATTAGAAAGCACTTATTATGCAAAATGAATCACATATTTCTAAGGTTTCAAATAATAAATTTTCTTCTTTTTGTTCTTCATTGCAGTGTTATATTTCTTGTGGACATCTCCATTTACAACATCAATTATCTCATTCACATACAGCATTCATTGCGTCGTCTTATGGAACAGCAACTTGCTAACAAAGCCTATTTCAACATCATCTGGTAAGGAAATGATTAATCTCTATACTTGTGCATCACCACCATCAGTCCCATGTTTGGGTGTGCTCTTAGGGTCATTGCACAATTGAGATCCTGACTAATTCCCTCCAAATATCTGGGTTGAAAGCTGGAAAAGTATTCATTAATGTATAGCATGTCTTGAGCAAGTAGACCTGGTGGAGCCCATCCCTCTCTAGGTCAACCCACAGCCAATGTCTTCCAACTTGAAGGCTTGCTTCTGTCACAGACACATGGCCATTAATTTGATCAAGGGAACGCGCCAGGCATTGACTTCAGTCTTGGAAACCCTCAGCCCAGTGATGCCATGTCATCACCACGCTGGTTGCCTACATAGTTACGAATCACATTCTACCCCATTGTGCTAGATGACCATTGACCCTATAACAAGGTTCATCTGTCCTTTGTACCACAAAGGAAACAGATAAAAAGGAGTGTATGCTTTTCTTTATGAACAATTGAATGATAAAATAGAAAAAAAAGGTGAAATGTTGGCTGAACTTGGACATAAATTTGTCAAAGAAAGCTCAGAAATGAATGCACTTTTTTGATTTTATAAATTATTTTCTCTTTTAACTAAAACTGCATTTTTTCTGTTTTTTATCTATAATTTATCTTTATTTATATCTGCATGCCAAAATAATTTTGAATGGGTCCTACTTGTTCAGATAATCTTGATATGCTTGGCATATGTGAGTAAAAATATTCAAATAATTATGAACATTAAACCAAGCAAATAAAATAATCAAAAACTGTATATTTCTAAATTATGTTTATTTAGTATATAAGTAATATTGAAAAGATTGTCTATCAAAATAATCATAAAAAAGAAAGGAATTTATCAAATTTGAACTGGATTTACATGTGAAGTCTTATGCATGCTGTAACTAACTAGGGTGGAAATACAAACAAATGTATTAATATTTACTAAGCCTGGCTTAGTACAGCACAAAAGTCAAATAGTAGAAACAGAAAGAAAGATTGTGTTGTCGCAATCTTCTGAGTAGTGAGAATCTGACAACTTTGAAAGTAAACATCCAAAATCCTTGCTTTTACCCCAAATTAAAAACTGACCTCTGGCTCAACTATCTCAACTACTAAGCAGGCCTGAAGGTTATTTGCTAAGATCAGATTACTCTCTGCATGATACCATAGAAATAGTGCAACTAAGTTCACTAAATTTTTCCGTTCTCCCTAAATGTGTAATATTTAGTTTTAGAGGTCACATTCTCCCAGGTTACATGCCCATATTTGTTCACTAAAGAGTGGTAGGGCCAGAGCATTTTCTTGTGCCTGTAGCATGCCAAAAATCAAAGCCAAAAGAAAGAAACAATTAAACTTGACTAATGATTGATATAAGAAAGAGCAATACAAGTACAAAAGAATGTATACCTATGCTTTTTATAGCTTATGCAAAAGCATTTCATAAAGTGCATCACAATGAACTGTTAGAATTGTTAGGTAATCTTGACAGTAATGGAAAGGATCTTAGAATAATCCAGAACTTACACTGGGAGCAAACCACCTGCATGCAGATAGAAAATGAATTCAGTAAATATACAAAAATAGTTGTAAGACAAGGATGTGTCTTCTCACTGGACTTATTCAACTGATACAGTGAGATGATTCTGAATTAGAAATCTTACCAGGGTTCATTATTGATAGCCGCAATCTTAGAATTAATAACAACATTAGATATGCAGATGATACAGTGTTGATAGCATATACAGAAAAGAAACTACTGCAACTCCTGTAGAAGGTAGTAAAGGAAAGCGAGAAGAAAAGATTAAACATAAATTGTAAGAAAACAAAATTTATGGTTGTCAGCAAAAGGGACAGCCCAACATGCAAATTACAAATTGGAGATGCCAAAATAAAGCAAGTACAAAAAATTAAATATCTAGGAAATGCTTTGACAGTGGATGGAAAATGTGACACCAAAATCCAAAGTTGTATTGGGATAGCAAAAGATGCATCCCAAAAGCTAAGCAAAGTATTAAGAAACAGGAAAAATTTGTTAGAAACAAAGAAAAGTGTATTGAACTGTTATGTAATATCATTCCTCCTATATGACAGTGAATGTTGGAAAATTTCATCACAGCTGAGGAAGAAGCTTGAGGGAACAGAAATGTGGTTCTACAAAAAAACGCCGAGAATACCATGGACTGAACATGTGAGCAACAACAAAGGTTTAGAGAAAATGGAAACAAAAAGGACATATGATTATCATCAGAAAGAGAGGGTTGAAATTTCTAGGTCACATAATGAGGAAAGAAGGCTTATAAAATTTGATACAATCAGGCTATATTGAAGGCAAGAGAGACAGAGGGAAAGAGCACATAACCTTTCTAATGAGCTTTTGTAAATAGTTAGCAGAACAGGGTTTAGCAATAAGACAAATTAAGACAAAACTTACTAAGAGTTAAAAAAGGACAGGAGAGCCATGATTACCCACATCCTGAAGGGATACAGCACTTAGAAAAAATCTATCCTATTAGAACCAAGCTCACAACCAAATAACATTTGTCTCTAAGATGAGCTTGCTAACCTGTTACTTATGATAGATAATCATTTTGTGTAGGATTGCTCTTATATGAAACTTCTTAAAAATTATTAAAACTAAAAAAAAACAATAATATTAGGATTAAGACTGTTAAGTAAGCAAAGAAAATGTTACATGATGTCCAGGAAGAGACATCAATTTTTAAACGGTTCAACCTTATGAATTGATATAGATCAGTACTTATCTCTATCTATAAAAGGCAGAATGTGTGTATGTGTAACAAATGCACGGCCGTAATTTTCGACGGATTTGCACCAAAATTTACATGCACATGCTCCAAGTTAGCAGGAAGGCCAAGATCAACTTTGCATTTCCCAACTCCCATCAATAGTGGAAATAATCAATGTTTTTATGCTTCTATGGCAGTTTTCATGTAGTTTGCAGCCATTTTCTACTGGCCAGAGTGAGTGCCAATAGCTGGCTGCCATGAATAGGCAGGAAGATTCTATTGGCCAGTGTGAGAGCCAACAACTGACTGACATGAATGTTAACTAGCATGCTAGCATGCAAAAAAAATTGATAGCTGCATTTGTCACAAGTGGGAAAAATTAAAATCTGCATGGCACTTTACTCCAATTGACTCATTCGCTTGCTTAAACTCAACGTTGATTCTGATTCTGCAGAACTGGGTTGGGTGTGAAAAAGTATTTGTTGTTAACATCCTTTTTTCATTCGGTTTTTCCAGTTACAAGTCCTTTTTTAAAGCTGATCGTTTTGTGTTCATTTTGTTTAGTTCTTTTTTTGTAACAGATTTAATGTTTAGTATAGAGCTTAGAAAAAATTCGCAGTGTGAGATAGGCAAGATGTAAGGCATGTAGCAACATCAGCATGGCAAAGGGCACTCCTTTAAAGGCAAGGAAGGGCAAAAATATTTTAAGTCAAGTGATAGTGATTGCTGTATGATTTTTGAATCAAGCACAGGCAATGCCAGGCTATGCTGCTAATTAAAACTATTGTTAATACAAAATTTTAAAATCTTGCTTTATTCCTATCTTTAATAATTGATAATCCATTGTTACATCAATTATTGTGGCATACCAGTGATGAGAATTTTTGTCAAGACATCTGGTAATGAGACAAAGGAGAACTAGTTCCATGCCTTTCACAAGGACATTTGAACAAAGTGAACATAACTGGACCTTGACTGCAATCTGTAATCAATTATTAGATTTTACTTTCTGTGTTCCATTATCCCATGGTGCCAAGTAAGAATATTTATAGCTAATTATATAATATTGTAGTTCCTACTCATTCAACTTCTTCATTGAGACTAGAGTTGACTGACACTTGTTAACATTGAGGAACCAAGATTACAGTGTATGTTGCCATTGTCATTTTCAGTTTTGGTAACAATGCCTTAGCATGGAGCCCTATTATGAAGAAACCCACTAAAGAAAACTTGCAGGAAGCCTGGAGGTAAGAAGTCAACTATTTATCAAATATATTATAATAATTGTTTTTTCTTCTCCTAGTAATCCTTGATCTTTAAAATGGCTTCTCTGATGAAATCAGACTGAGATACATGTTAGAGGTTCTTAACACATGATCTCCTACAAGAAAGACACACAGACAGAATTGTTAATTTGGATTAAAATAACATCATTTTCTTGTCAATTTGAAATATTTATTACATGATTTTTCAGGGTATTCTTGCAATAATACTGAGGATTATTACTTTTTTTTTTTTAATTCTATGACAGATGGATCCTAACTTGGCAATGTAAAGGAAGTCGTAATTTTCTCTCTGCACTGAGACTGGCTGTACAGAATGAAGAAGAAATAAAACATGGAATACGTATGTTTCTTTCTTATTTTGTCAGTTTGTATATAAATATGTGCGTGTGCATTTCTACATCCAGTAAAAAGATTTCGATAAAAGTATTTAGATGCTTACAAATAAAAAATACCAAGAGATCTTTTTTCTTCATTCTTACCATAATTTGACTTTTTTTCACTAAGATGAGAATTTGACCTGCAACCAATTTAGGTCCTTCTGCTACTATTACTCTCTTATATTGCTTTTCTTTCTTTTCTTTTCATCTGATTAGAAAACTCTTTGTAGGAACATATATTCAGAATTATAATTTGTTAGAATGGCATGGAGGCAGAAATATACACACTCCAAGTACTGATTTATAAGTTTGTACTTAATGTGCATATCTCTGCCTCCATTTCTGCCTTGAGTACACTTGTTGAACAAAGCAAATTCAATCCACCAGGTATTGATCTCTATCAGAAAATCTAAAAAAAATTACTGTCTTTTTCATTCATTAACAAAATATGCTTACCTTCAATTGTCTTTCATGTTATAAAAATGTTTGGTTGTCTCTTGTGTTATATCTGCACATACACTTAAGACTGATATTTGATGTGACATATTCAGTTTATATTTCTTTATGTATTCTCTTTTTTGTTTTACATTTTTATGAAAGGCAATTGCAAATAAACCATCATTCAATATACTTACAAATAACACTTAATTCATTTTAGACACAAAAAAGTATATTCAGATTATGTTTGTCATATTAAAATTTTCAATGTCTTCTTTTAACCATTTTATGATGTGGCAAAATCTAAGAAAAAGGTGATTTGTAATTCATAAATCATTTTACAGTAACAACATCTATCTTTACAATGGAAGATACAATATACAAATCTAATGGACTCTCCCATCATATTCAACATATGAGGGTCAAGCAGTTCAGTTCCTAGGAACCGACAGCCCAGACACCAGCACATATGATTTGATTATAGTGATGAAGGCTCTGTGCAGAACCTACCACTCTTTTTGAAGGGCCAAATACAGAGACCTGGTGCCCCAAATGACCCTCCACAGGTTTTGAATTCAGAGTTGTCCTTCTCCTAGACCAGTTGCCATCCAAGGCTATAGAACCCAGTCTGTCCTGCTATTTATCCATAGCTGGAGGGAGAAGAGGACTAATACATTTCCCAAAGGTATTAGCATGTAAGTGAATGTAATGAATTCAACTGGAATTCGAACTCGGCTTTCCGATTCCTCACTCCAAGCCACTATCCACTACTCCACCGTGCCTCCATACAAATCTATACATCAGACCAATAGACAAAATGGAACAAAAAATGTCTTTGTTACACATTTCATTCTTTGAAACAGCTTCTTCAAGCTGATAATGATTTTATCGATGGAGTCATATATAATGGGGGTTTAGAGAAATATAACAATGCCACTTATATTTTTTTTTAAATTTAAAATTGTAACCAGTGTTTATTGTATTTCTTCCCCTTCTGTATATATAAGACTTCACTGATAAAACCATTATGGAGAAAACATGTAACATAGTATTTTTTGTTCCATTTTGTCATTGAATCATCCACAATTTTTACAGTGCAACAATCTTTTCTAATAATGCAATTCCCTTTCAGTAATTAATAAACATGGAACAGATTTTAATACAAATTACATTTTATTTTATAAGACACAAAATAAATGACATGAATGTTTAATACTGAACCATACTTCCTTTCACTGTATTGATCATGATTACATTATAATAAATCTTTTGACATCACCTGGGATTAACTTCTTTTCCATGTATCATGCAGAAGCCATGTTTTTGCAACTGTATATAGTCTCATATTACACACTTCTCATAGACTGCAAGAAGTCAAGAGATCTGATAAAATGTCACTTAAGAGAGATGTTGAATGGTTTGTAAAAAGAATAAAATAGCAAACATTTAAGTATAGCATAAAATATCAACAAGAAGCCTTTTTTAGTAGATTCTTCAGGTAAAAAAACAAGCTTGACATCAGTTAAATTGGTGTTTGTTTTTTGGTTTTGACAATGATGTTCACTCTGCACAAGACTTAAGAGCCACTTGAGGTAGAGGGTTACAGAGTAAGAGACGTAATGGGGATATATGGAGACGATAACAGTTAACCCTTGACATGAACAGGTTAAAAGTGCAGTAATCAGAGAAGCATCTTCTTGGGAGTTGATTTCACAAAGCAGCACTTCATTAGAAGAAGCTAAACTTTTATCTCATGAATGGAATACAAAAGGAATGAGGGTGGTTTGCTACAATGTGCACAGAACGGCAGGTCTTAGCCTTGAAGGTTAGAGTTGGTGGAACTAAGGAATGTAGTTTGAAAACTTTCCATGGAAATAAAGAGCAGAGATAGATAATCAAGCAGACTAACTAATTATTTTTCTCAACATATTTTTTGTCAATTATTACCTTTTTATCATTTTTTATATTTTTAAAAAATATAATATTTAAAATTGAATTGTTACGATTGTTACTTATTTAGATTCTGATGATTTACAAAATCCCAAAGAGCTTTACCAAATAACAAAAACCACATAACCTAAATAAATTTCAACAACAAAATGAGTAGCACATCTAATTAGAAGAGAAAATAATGATATAATCAAAATGTTTAGTTTCCACACTTCCAAAAACAAA